GATCTGGTGCTAATGGTGCTGAATGGAAACATAAACAAAGCAGAAATTCATATGAGAATATACTGCCAGTAAGTCAGCTGATCGCAACTGTCTCGTGGACAGCCTTATTAATATATAGCGAATTCGTTTATTATCGGGGTTAACACCAGTTCCAACCCAGTGCGAAACCGAACTTTTTGTCAGTGTTAACCTCAACCTGAGCTACACTGAACCAAAACATCCGCAATACTTCGAATGATTATTGCATTGCTCGAGCCCTTTAACAATATGCATTCGAATTTCGGATGATTTTCTTATGGTTGAATTCGTCGTCAGATGATGAACAACCATATGACTGTCATCCAAATACAGGATGATTTTCGTTTGAAAATTAGCTATAAAACATACGGCACTCAGAGGACAAACATTTAAGAATAGTGTGACATGCAAGTGCTTTTAATTAGATTTATAATTTGATTATCTACAATTCCATACTGAATAGCCATAATAAGCCATTCCATTATGGTTACAAAAAAAATTCGTGGTGGAGAAAACCTCCTCCACCACGAATTAGGCAAACATTGGTTTTCATCCTTTACCTTTTTTCGTAACAGCTCTGATAGCGATGCATATGCTTCCACCTCGTTTGTCAGCTCAGATCAGCAAATGACGTTCGATAGAATTATTTACATCATCGTTTTGAATGATTTGCGTTATGGGGCAATATGCATTTCCATTAAGTATGACAGTCATTCTGCAGAGAGCATTACGCATTTCAACTGAAAGCCCTATCCCTTGTCATAACAAGTTTCATCCCGTATTCGAGAGGAAAATCATCTGATTTTAAAACAACCATCATCCGGTTGCAGCTATCATTCGAAAAAGCGATTTCGGTGTTTTGTTTTGAATGGTCTGAGGTTTCATTCGATCAGAGGATGTTGTTTGTGTACAGTGTAGGTTTTAAAAACAAACAAGCAAACTGACGTTTGTCAGAAAACAAGCAGACCCAATCTTGATACCCGATCCAGGTTGGAACTGAATAATAAACGAATTCGCTAATAGTCTCGAACATAGTAGTCTAATAGGGGTAATGGCTCTGATGTTGGCCTACGAATCTAAGATTGGGCCCATCGCTAAAAATCTACTATTTTTTATCAATTTTATCTAGATGAACGCGTCATTTAATCGATTGCTGAATTTATGTATGGGCCCAAATTAGGGGCATTTAGGCCGACATTACATCCATTTCCCAAACCTATTTTTCATTAAATTATGATCAAACAATTGCCAAATCAAAGTTGGCACTCGTGGAGAATAGAAGAACGATGGTTTCAAAATTTTACACGGTGAGGTATACGTAGGTGCAATCTTAAAATGCTTTTATTTTGCAAATGGACCATGGCTCTTGTCCAGGGTCTGCTTGGCTTCTTTTGCTATCTAGGGATCAATGGCTAAAGTGTAATGTCTTTGATGTTTTTGGTGATGTGGTGGTGTTAGTGTTTCCATTTCCCTGGCAACCCAGGAATCGGAAAATAGCTGAACACTCTTCTCGGGAATCGGGAAATAGGTTTATCCAGTAACCAGTTATAATTATCGGTAGTTATTTATTAAAATTTGAGCATCGCTAAGATTTCTCCTGGAAAATGATTTGGAAAGTTTTCACTAAGTTTCTATTAGGAACGCACAAAAATAATGGTTGTTATCTGAATATCACATAGCGTAAGAAATTCTATATGAGATATCATATAGATTTCAGTGGACACATAACGTTCATGTGATTTAGTGGTTCAATTTCCAATTATAGGACCACATGAAAGTTATGTGAAATTCACATGGATATTTTCCACTGGTTATGTCATTTATTTTATGAGTGAACATTTTCTGGAAGTTTCTTCCAACTTCCTCTTGAAGATTTCAACCAGCTTCTTCGGAAGGATTCATACTCTGAGGCTAATAGACCTAAGAATTTCATAAGGCTCGACTTGTGAACAACATATCCAGAACAACATGTGAAAAGGGCATACAAGCTTTTTGTAAACAAACCTTTGTAGGCCCTTTTCTCATCAACCGAGGGTTGCCCACGCAAACCAGCAATATCATCGGGAAGGGGAAAGTGTCCCCTACTCGGTGATGTTAAAGGTTTGCGTTGGTGTCATATGGGTGGCGAGAAAACGGCATAAGAAGGTTTGTTTACAAAGAGCTTGTATGCCCTTTTCACATGTTGTTCTGGATATATGAATTTCATAAGCGTGACTTATGAATGATTTTCGGGTAACATGAGGTAGCTCTCTTATACGCCTTTAACCATTTCATTCTCCCAAGCGTTTAAAGACGAGCTCCCTAACCTCAACGTCCATTTATCGGTCCCAGTCTGCTCCGATTTGTTATTTTGTTGTCAACATTATTTTTCATAAGGCAAATCAATGAAATTCACACTCATTTATTATGGCAAAAATTGATAAGTGTTTCTAATGGAATTCTTACGTTCTTTTGCCTGCGTGTAAGATTTCTCTAGGAGATTTCGTCCGACTTTGCATGGAAGTTTGTTCCAATATCTCCATCGTTCAACGGAAGTTTCATAAACATTCCATATCAATAGTATCTTAAGATTACCCTCAGAAGTCCTACTGGCGACCGCTGGAAGTGGAAATTATTTTCACATTTTAACCGGGCTTCTCACGGAAAACATTTCTAAATGTGCAGCATGTGCCTTCTGACTTCGAGAAATTTCTTTCAACTTTCTTCTATCTTCGCCCTGCAATTTCTCACAGATTGTCTCAGAAGTGTCTACCGGTTTCCTTTAGAAGATTCGGTAGGTGTAAGAGAGGAGGTTGAAAGTTCCCCTAGAGTACGGCAGTATGAAAATTGAATAGAAGTTGAAAATGAACGAAGGGCCATTAATGCGAGAGTACTAGTTCATACTGTCGTACTTTAGCGGAACTATCAACGTACCCTCTTTAGACATTTCTCTAGCTAATAAATTATCACATTAAAGCTTCATGTTTTTTTTCCTTTGGTTTGTTTTCCGTCGATCTTATTTTCCGTGCTGAGCACCAATGCTACCGACGCCAGGAAGGCAGCTGCCACACCTGGACCCTACCTATCGAACCATCAACTCATGAACCGGGGACCGGCGCACTAAAGCTTCCATGTTAGATAGCATTTCCAACCAACTCCAAAAATATATGTTTTGCCTGGATTTTGTACAAATAATTTCCCTGGAAGTCAAACTAGGTTCCCAAGCGCTATCTTTATGGTGGTTTCTGTGTAGCAATTATTTGACAACCGTTAGAACATTATGTTATCACTGCTCAGTCTGGCCAGCTCTTTATACTAGACCATCTCTAGTTTTTAATATTTACTCGATACCGAGTTATTGAACACCGAGTTGTTGAGAGTTGACTGTACCGTATGTGTTTCATCACTTCGAATTTTGTTTAAGGCATTAATTAGGAAAATTTTTAGCCGTAGGCTAGTTCATCTCCAATCACTTCGACAGTCTTTTTCTCAATATCAAAATTTTTCACATGGCAAATCATTTGATTATACGTAGTAGAATAAGTAGAGTTAAACAAATCTGTAAAATTTATTCCTATTTTCAACGAACTGAAATTATTTCTCAACTAATGAAAGATATGCTATACTAACAAAATGATATTCTTAATTTAATTTGATGCAATCCCCTGCAATTCTTATTTGAGAAGTTTTTCTGCTTAACTAGCCCTATGAAATATACTTAGTTCTTTGTCTTCATCATTCCATTATTCTTATAAATTAACAAATCATGCAACATAAATGCATCAAGATTTCATTATTTGACTCGTGTATACCGGCCAAGCGTCTTTACTGACTAGGCTATCCTCAGGAGACTCCCAGACAGAACCAATTCTAGATACTGCTTTATCACCCATCACGAAAAAAAAATGGCACATAGGTAGGTAGGGTAAATTATGGCTTCGGCACCCATTGACTGTTTTCGGCAACCGAAATTGAAATGTTAATTTCACTGTATTTTCCCATCAAAACTCTTCGCTGAATGTATTAAGCCGATTCCTTACCTTTTCAGCTTCAATCTGATTACATTTTTACGACTGTGCAATCCTGTTATGTCATATTTTTCTTTAATTGAAATATACACACTACCAGTGGTGGCACGAGTCCTGGAGTATAACATTTTTTCCTTAACATTTGATACTTTTTGCGATAACCATTGTGACGACACACAAAATTGTAGAATTTTGCTGATTTCTGGCTAATTACTGCATTTATTTGATGTTTATTGCATGGAATTAAAAGATAAGAATGAAGACTGACCACTCATTACCATTGATGTCAAAATTATGCGCAAATAAGGGAGTTGGTAATTTACTGTCACACGCAAGCCTGCAGCTAAAATTTCATTACAATAAACTGTTTGGAAAAATCAGGCTGCGAGATTTTATTTATTCTCTATCTCCGCTGTTCGCTTGGAATGTAGTTATAAACGGTCGCCCGTGTGCTGGCTGTTTAGTTTCGCTCTGGACGATGGTTTTTCAAAAAATGTACTGTTGCCACCTCTGCACACTACAAAATACGGCTGATTTTGAGTTGCCGATAATAGAACAGCTGGTTAACACGCAGTTCAAATGGTAAGGGTGCCGAAGAAAAAGAGACTGCCGACAATAGTCACACTCACCTGAGAAGTTTGGAGCTTTGTAAAAACATGTTCAACCCGTTTTGATCAATTCTGTCGATTGGAATAGGTAGAACAGCAAGCAGTAGATAAATGTTAACAAACAAACCTGTCATGTATGTGTGTGACGCTGAGAAATCGCTAATAGAAATTCAGACGCTGCTTAGATTGACGAGAATACGTAAATTCCCCTATATGTAGCTAGGTAACAACAACCTGAATGTATGGATTCTTCTTTCACTTTCCATTTATGGAGCTTATCAATTTTATGAACCGGCTTTTTTTTTTGTTAAAGAGATTATAAGCATCGACCGACACTAAAGCTGCTTCTCTCGCTCGCAAACCATTTGTAAGTAGAATTCGGTACGAACAACATCGTTATCGGCGCCATGGGATTCGCCGGGCGTTTTGTTTCCGTGGCACTCACGTTGCTAGTGGCCGTGCTGGTCAAGGTCTACTTTGATTTATCTGCCCCGGCACAGGTTCCGGATATCGACTTTGGTGAATACTGGGGACCAGGAGATGCTAAGAATTATAAAGAAAACGTCATAGTCAACCCATTTAAGTTAGCCTATGGCGAGGAAGTGATTGGAAAATTAAAGAGCAAACTGGAGGATGTACCAAATCTGGCAGAACCATTGGAAGGTGCAGCCTTCCAATATGGATTCAACAGCAAACGGCTACGAGAGATTCTGGACTATTGGAGAACGGATTACCTCGGACGATGGAATGAACGCCAGGAATATCTGAATAAATTCCCTCAATTCAAAACCCAAATCCAAGGTTTGGACATACATTTCCTGCATGTCAAGACGGAGGTACGGAACCCGAAGCGAATTGTTCCACTATTGATGTTGCATGGTTGGCCCGGATCTGTACGTGAATTTTACGAGCTGATTCCAAAGCTGGTCACGCGAAGCGACGATAAGGAGTACGTATTTGAAGTAATTGTGCCGAGCTTGCCGGGTTACGGATTTAGTGAGGGTGCATCTAAGCAGGGACTCAGTCCTGCCAAAATCGCCGTCATCATGCGAAATTTAATGGCTCGTCTCGGGTTCAAAAAGTACTACGTGCAAGGTGGTGATTGGGGTTCCATAGTTGGAAATCTGATAGCTACTTTCTTCCAGGATGAAGTTCTCGGTGATTTAAGCATGTTGTTATCTCGCCCTTGGATGCGATAACTTATCATTTTGGTTTTCAATTTTAGGCGTTCACCTGACGATGTGCGTTAACAGTGCCCCGATCGGATCGGTGAAGAACGTTATCGGTGGAATCGCTCCCTCATTCGTCGTGGAAGATAAATACGTCGACTTTTATTACCCATATTTGGACCGAATGAAACTACTTCTGACGGAAACGGGTTACATGCATATACAAGCAACGAAACCAGACACAATCGGAACCGCCCTCACGGGAAACCCAGTCGGTCTTGCTGCCTACATTTTGGAAAAATTCTCCACATGGACCAACCCACAATACCGAGATCTCCCGGACGGTGGTCTCGAAAAGTTCTTCACCCTCGATGAACTCCTGGACAACATCATGATCTACTACCTAACCGATTCCATCACCACCTCCCAGAGGCTGTATGCCGAAGCTTTCAACATCAAAGAGATATCCCGCGATTTTGATCGCATTCCAATGCAAGTCCCCGCGGCATGTGCCAAGTTCCGCCATGAACTGGTCCAGCAAACCAACTGGGCGCTAAGTGACCACTTCTGCAACTTAATCCAAACCAATCACTACGACGACGGAGGCCATTTCGTCGCCATGCAGCTCCCGGAAGTTTTGTACCGCGATATCGTCCAGTTTGTGAACCGTTTGTACCGGCGAGAGGATCAATAAAAGACTAACCTGAAACATCGGCAAACATCATTGCGGTCATAAACTTCCTCGGCCGGTAATCTCGGGCACTACACAGCACCTCGTCCGGAATCATCGAACTGATGACCTTGTTCTTGAGCTCCTCACTTCGATCCGTTTCACCCAGAAAGTCCTTGTAAATATTGGTGCGGAGATTCAGATTTCCTCCGTGCCTTCCCAGGAATTCGTACAGAAAGCTGGAGCGCTCCGGGAGGTACTTTTGCAGTTTCTTTTTCTGGAATATTTCCGGAAATGGATAAGGATGCTAATGATTAACCGGAAGTTCATAGGAACCCTTACACCTTTCAGCCGGTTCTTGCAGCGGGAAATGAACAGTTCCTTGTCTATGGCCTTCCGAAGGCGGGCGGAACCCTCGCAAGGGTCATCGGAGGGGACTGCCGAATGAAGCTTTATCATTTCAGTCGGAAATTACGGATATATTATTCAACAATTCTGAAATACTCACGCAATTCCATCATTTTGCCTGTCAACTTTTTTGAACAATAATTCAAAAAGTTAAGCTCCGGTTACTACTTGAAAAATAAATTGTGGATGGCTACAAATGTTAGTAGATTAAAGATTAAACTGTACAAATGTTGTTGCGGATGCAACACGCAATACAGAAAAAATGATGTTCAATGCACGGCAAATGAATCAACCCATATTTGAGTCCCGTTTGCTCAAATTCGTAAAAGTATAACACTGATAAATTAAACTATTCCCATTTTCCTTGAAATTTAATCAATTTGACATTAAACTCAGTTTAATAATATCGAATGCTTAACAGTTAATACACTCAGGTCTTTTTTACACGGGGGATACGTACCGTGTAAAAAAAAAACCGTGTAAAAAAAACCTACGAGATTTTGATTTTTCGCATGCTTAAATGTTTTTAAAAAATCGGATTTTGATGCCATTTGTAATTAAAGCATGATATGGTCCATACAGACATATATTAAAAATTTCTGTATTTACACCAAAAATTGTGATTTTTTTCTAAGTATGCCATTCAATTACCTATAGCTTGAAACGGTTGTATCGTTGTCGAGAAATCGTTAAAAACGTACCGTGTAAATCGTGGAAAACCGTGTAAAAATAACCGTGTAAAAAAAACCGCGTAAAAAAACCGTGTAAAAAAAGACTTCAGTGTACTCTCTTTCTAAAAAATAAGCATCTGATATTAATCCCATTTTAATCATGGTTGATTAGATTGCAGATTTTTTTTAAATAAATTTTAAACATTTTTGATTCTAATTTAATAATTTTTGATAGAATTTCAATATTTTTCGTTTATATATCAGTAAAATATAATACTGTATAGATTATTTCGAATTTAATCATGCTTGACTGCTGTCCAAGTAATCATGGCTCGGACTCAATAAGGTGAAGCGGGAATCTACATTCTTTTTAAGCTTTTTTGATTTAATTTATCTTTGAGTGTACACTGATAGGGTGAATCAACCACTTCATTCGAGCAGTTAACACACGGGACTGACATCAAATGTTTCCACTATGGGATTTCACAAATTTGACAGTACCCTCTTAACTGATCTATAAATTTATGGCCCATAACAAACTTGAACAACACATACAAACTTTACAGATGTATTGCATATTATAAAGCTAACAATGATGTAAACAATGACTTCTTTTGATGATGTCTTGAAAGTCAAGGCATTGTTTACAAATCTGTTACGCCTAATTCCAGCTCTATCTAGATCGAGGGGGGCGACTCTATCTACGATGCAGGAAAAATTTTGGTTTGCTGTGGTTAGCTGCGTGCACGCTGAATAGATATGAAGAAGATTGTTGACGATTTTGAAGATTTCCTGCAAAAAGATGATGCGCGATGCAAATAGATGCGAGAAATCAAAGAAGATTTTTCGAAGTTTGATTCGCTAGTGTGAGATTTGTTGAGTATCTAGAATTGAAATTTAGATGTGTCGCCCCCCTTCGATCTAGATATGTTTAAATCTAACATACCATGTACTTTAAGGCAACATTGGGGGTGGAATTTCAAAAACCAAAGTCGGCCGCGACATGAGGGTGATCGGATTTGGATCTTGAGATGATGGATTTTAATTCTTAATTCGCCAATCGATAGGATTTTTTTCTACGAATCTGTTAAAATTAAGACTTTATCATTTTTCAAAAAATTACAATTGAAAATTGCACGGATGTGCAACTGTTGCTATGATAATTATAAATATCCCCAATTGCCTGTGAAAAGCGATTTCCCTAACACAGATGTCAAAGTTGAATTCCATCCGGTCTTACCAAATGGTGTTTATTGAATCACCACGTGGTGAGTGGTGGTGTTCTCCAGTACATAACGAAAGGCTGCCTGCAAGCAAAGAGCTGCAGCCCAAATGAGCATCCATAGAAGGAGGAAGAAGCCGTACCGCTATTGATCGGAATCAGCAGCTCTTCGTGAGCCGCTGTGGGCCATCTATGTCAAGCGCGTCATATTAAAGAGTATAAACAGAAAGAACCCCGCTCAAATTCCTATTCCTACACAAAACACAAGCTTCTGCTGCAGTTAACAAATAAGATTTATTATTTAAAACGCAATACAGACTGGAGAGTTATAACATGTTATAACGGTTGTCAAATAATTGCAACACAGAAACCAACATCAAGATAGCGCTATAACATGTTATAACTCTGTAGTCTGAACGTACTATAAGACCACATAGTCCTACGACAACCCCATAAGACTGTCCCTAGTAGTTTTTATATAAATGTTGGATTTTAGCCGAGGGATTTCCACCAAGCTTGTAAGGTGATCGGTAATCAAAAATTACCACAAATTATTAAAATAAATAGTGAATATTGAATTACTCCTTAATTTTAATGAAATAAAAATAACTTTTGGTAATTTATGGGTAATTGACCACTTTGTCAAGCAGTTTTGGCGTGACCAGCGATTACACAAAACAGGACCAACTTATTTCTATTTTTTCATGAAACGCACAAATGTTGGCTACTTTTCTCGAGGTTCTAGCACAAACGAAGTGACAGACGACTAACTGGCAAAGAAATCCATTTAAATAATGTGGTTCACTGTAATAGAATTTTCTTGGAAGCTTGTGCCATCATCCACCAGATGGGTTAGTTTTTTTGTTTTGATTTGAACAAAGTTGATTTTGTGTACAATGATTCTTTGACAGTGTGCAAAGAGTGCGTATAATTTTGTCATTTTTTTATGCATTTCAGTTTTGAGTAGAGTGAAAGAGATAGAACCAAAACATTCTAGTACATTTGGTGAAAATGCTAGTTCAATCTAATAGTAGTGTTGCCATGTGGTACCATCCAGTAGTAGTGGTGTTGCCATGTGGTACACTGAAAAATTGCAATAGCAGGTTAGTCACCAAAGTTTTCGAGCCGCTCCGTCTGTCACTTCGTTTGTGGTTCTAGTAGAAAAAATCTCAAAATAATGTTTTATTTCAAAGTTCGAGTGGTAGTAAACGTCATTTAAAGTGCTCGAATAAAGTGGTTAATTGGGTTCTTTAATTTTGAAAAATATATTGGATTTTATATATCATCTGAAAGAGCTTCGTTTTCTGAGCACAACCATATTTTTTTTCGAACCCACACACTTTCATCTCGATTTTTAAATCAAGATTTAAAGCAAAATAATAACTTCACTACCTGCTTCACTATTTGATACTAAACTGACAAACTGACAGCTCGCTCCCATACAAAGTGACACCGAGGGGCGCTAATAAGGTGATTTTTGCAAATGTAATCGTACTTATTTAAAATAGTTCCAATGTACCAAAATTGATGAAATTTTGGGTTTGGGTTCCATTTTTAATGCTGATTACGAATATGCATTTACCTCAGTACCCTTAAAGAACCCAATTTCAGTAATTCCTACTGATTGGAAAATAATTTGGTAATTTTAAAGATAATTAAACAGTAATTCGAGTAATTCCATAAATATTTGTAAAGTTCTTCTTATTCTTCTCCTTTTGTTTATAATTGGTGATAAAATTTTAACCTTATGTATTATGGTATTTTGGAAGTGATCCTTAAAATGGTGGTTGTTAAAATTATAGTTACTATAGATATAGATTAGTTGTATCTATAGATAAGCGGAGGCATTAAAAGTTGTTTTGGCGACCATGAAAAATAAATGATCTTACTGGCATCCGTGAAAAAAGTTCATGCCATCATAGAGCTTTTCGTTGTGCAGATTTGTTTTGTTTCGTGCGTAAAAGTTCAAAATGAAGTGCAAAGCAAATCTTTACAACAATGTATCGAAGAATGGTTTGCTTTATCTTTCATTCTTCCGTTGTCCGTGAAATAAATCGGAATGTGGAGTGTGGAACGCGTTTTCTGCTCATAATATTACAATACTTCTCCCTCAAACAACACCATGATGACGTCATGCTCGTTTGGCTACACTAACTGACAGTTCGTTTGGCTACATTATACTTCTAGATATAGCTGGAATTAGGGCGTAACAGTCTTTGTAAACAATGACTTCTTTCGTTGATTTGTAGGAATTCAAGGCACGCCTACACAAAACAACATATCCATCGGGTAGGAGAAGTCTTCCTCTACTTGATGGTGATGTCGATTTGCAAGGGAGGGCGATGACTTTCGAGAAATCATCGAGGGAAGCCATTGTTTACAAAAGCTGTTACGCCCTAGTTCCAGCTCTATCTAGACTTTTCCTCCGCTTATCTATGGAATCTATAGTATCTATAGTTAAAATATATAAATTGCCCTTGGAATTCAAGATCAAATTTTCATTATGTCGAAAGTAACATTCGCATCGATTCGAGCAAATTAAAATTTTGTCTTGATGATCGAAAAGGTATTCGTATTTCCAATTGGGTTCTTTAATTTTGAAAAATATATAGGATTTTATATATCATCTGAAAGAGCTTCGTTTTCTGAGCACAACCATATTTTTTTCGAACCCACACACTTTCATCTCGATTTTTAAATCAAGATTTAAAGCAAAATAATAACTTCACTATTTGACACTAAACTGACAAACTGACAGCTCGCTCCCATACAAAGTGACACCGAGGGACGCTAATAAGGTGATTTTTGCAAATGTAATCGTACTTATTAAAAATAGTTCCAATGTACAAAAATTGATGAAATTTTGGGTTTGGTTTTCCATTTTTAATGCTGATTACGAATATGCATTTACCTCAATACCCTTGAAGAACCCAATTCAACACATGCACACAGAAAAAAAATAATTGTAATCGCAACAAAAATCTGTCGCCCCCTCTGAATTTTTGCTAACATTTTTCTTTCAGTGCAAACGCTTCTCAACCGAAAACCCTTTTCCTCCAACCCTGCAGCAGCTGTCAAAATGATCGAGCTTTGTTTTCGTTGAAAAGGTCTTTTCTCCGGTGTTGAAGTGTCAAAAGCTGAAAACGTCGTGTGAAAAGTGCAAGCGAAAGTGACGCCGGTTCGTGTTTGTTTGGCCGGAGGAAAATTCGCACATTTTTCTGGTAAAAAACCATTAATTCTCGGTGGAAAAGTGAAGATCCGACTGCCCAACGATGAGCGCCGGTGGAATGCTGTACGGTGGTGATGAAATTGGCGCCCTGGTCTTCGATCCCGGACATCATTCGCTGCGCGTTGGATACGCCCAGGAAGATACCCCGAAGGCGGAGATTCCGTCTGTCGTCGGTGTCGGACCGGCGGATGCTGCGCTGAACTCGGATTTGGAATCGAAAGCGGACAACAATGTCGCCAGCAGTGAGTTGCGGTTGTGGGGTTGAAGGTAAATGGTTCGGTTCAAACGATTTTTCATTCAATTTCAGCCAATAAATACTACGTTGATACGACGTTCGTCAGCGTGCCAAGACCGAACATGGAGATTCAGACGTACATGAAGGACGGAATGGTGGACAATTGGGATCTGTTCGAGAAGGTGCTGGATTACACGTATGCAAAAGTGATCCAATCGGAATCGATGTACCATCCGGTATTGTTTTCCGAGGCGGCATGGAATGTACGGAATAACAGGGAAAGGCTGACGGAGCTGATGTTTGAGAAATACAGTGTACCGGCTTTCTTCCTGGTCAAGAATGCTGTTCTGGCTGCTTTTGCTAACGGGAGAGCCACAGCTTTGGTTGTGGACAGTGGTGCCACTCATACTTCCGCCGTTCCAGTTCATGTAAGACGGATTTGCATTCTAAATTGTAGAAACAATTGTATGTAATCTAACTGCTTTTTTCGTAGGAAGGATATGTCCTCAGCCAAGCCGTCGTGAAATCCCCTCTGGGAGCCGACTACCTTTCGCTGCAATGCCGTCAATACCTCGAGGGTCAGAATATCGATCTGACTCCGGTCTATGGGATCGCTGCCAAGGACGTAATTAAAGAGCGGGACAATGCTCGATTTACGCCACGTCAACTGCCGGAAAAGCTGACCTCCTCGTGGCAGCAGTACATGCTGAAAGGTCTCCTGCAGGACTTCCAAATGACCATAGTGCAGGTACTGGAAGCGCCATACGACGAGCGTGCCGCAGCTCAGATTCCGGCAGTTCATTACGAATTCCCCAACGGTTACCATCAGGATTTCGGCCCGGAGCGATTCAAACTGGCCGAGAGCTTGTTCGACCATACGATGCTCGGAGCTGGTCAGTTGGCTTCTACCAGCGTTGGAATGTGCGATGCCGACGTGCGCCTCTCCCTGTACGGATCGGTCGTTGTTACCGGTGGAAACACTCTGCTGCCGGGCTTCCCGGAACGTTTGAACAGGGATCTGCAGCACCGGGCACCATCCAATACTCGGTTGAAGATGATCTCGGCCAACGGTTCCGTTGAACGGCGGTTCGGTGCTTGGATCGGCGGATCAATTCTGGCCAGCATCGGAACATTCCAGCAGATGTGGATTTCCTCTCAGGAGTACGAAGAGTCCGGCAAAAGCCAGGTTGAACGGAAATGCCCTTGAACCCAGGCGCAGGTGGACGATAACAAATAAACTAGAATTTAAGGATGTGTTGTAGCTGATTAAGATTTTACGAATTATGAAACAGTGTAATTGTAACCTGCTCTTCTATTTGGGAATACAGATTGAAAGTTTGACCTGTCTAGAACGTGAGTAGAAAATTTTGTTTACTGACTAATCTACGCCGGATTCCTTAAAATAGAACTTTTGTTTTGGAACTCGATTGATCTATTGGATTGATAACGATAAATTCGTACTTAATAGTTGTTCAATGAAAAATGTAGCAAATTTTGCCTGCAATTGATAATCTTGAAAAGCGTGTTGCAGTTTTGCAATAAAGACAGCGTTTGGCTGTTATCAGCACAGTAATGAGGCGCACTGGAGAAGCTACCAGAACGGTGGCTCACGCTTTTATCAGCCAGAAGTGCATCGTTGTTTGATGTTTCTGCGGAGTGGCTTTTACAGCCGATCAGTATGGTAGCGTTACCAGTTTGATTAGCGTTATCAGCAATCTAGAGGGGTTCTAGTTGAAACTGGTACAATTTTTACTATGCTGATACTCGGACTCTGATTTGTTTATTGTTTTTATTTGCGTTGGGACTTTTGCAACCAATGAGGACAGCAGCGTCGAATCAAAGTCGTAACTTCCCAATTGGATGTGTGATCCGTTTGGAAACGTTGAATAGCTACAAAATACGTGTGGATGGAAAATGGTAAACCATTTTCAAGGTTGTCAATGAACCGGGAATTAATCGGAAATCGGAAACAACTGGAAAAAATAGGGAATGATTTGAACGTTAAAATATATTTGTTAATGCCTTTATTGATCGAATCTGTTAATGAGAATGTTGAGTCCGATATTTTCTGCGATAAGCAATAAGCAATATCAAAGAAAATGAAACAATTGTAATTAACGGGTAAATTGGGCATTGAGGTAATTTAATATATTTTTGAGCACTGGAACTATTTTAAATAAGTGTGACTACATTAGCAAAAATAACTAGCATAGTGCCCCTCTGTGGGACTTTGTATGGGAGCGAGCTGTCAATTTGTTAGTCTAGTGTCAAACAGTGAAGTCATAATTTTGTTGAGAAAGTTTGAACATACTGAGAGGTAAGCACATATCATCGGTAAGAGACGTGTGTGTGGGAAAATTTGCCAAAAAATCAAAGGGTACCGGTGGGATTCGAACCCACAATTCCCATTCAGTACACGGGTGAATTGCCAATTATACAACGGTGGACCTATAACGGAACTATCAACAACTCTATACTTTCATCTCCTCATCTATCGTATAAAATGACCACTTTAAGTCAGATAATTGACGTTAAGCGTCTCCATCTAAACAAATTAATAGTTGGTATGACCACGTGAATAAAAAGTGAATTAAGTTCTTTAATTTTGAAAAAAAAATCGGGTATCGATTTTGAAAGAATTTTGTTTTCTGACCACAACGATATTTTTTTCGAACCCATAGGCGTTCATCTTGATTTTTAAATCAAGATTTAAAACAAAATAATAGCTTCACTGTTTGACACTAAATTTACAAATTGACAGCTCGCTCCCATACAAAGTCCACCTAGGGGTGCTTCTTTCAATGTAATCGCATCTATTTAAAATAGTTCCAATGCACCAAAATTGATGAAATTCTGGATTTCGGTTCCATTTGACATGCAGATTACGAATATGAAATTGCCTCAATACCCCTAAAGAACTCAATTGCGATTTTAGCTATTCAAACTAATGGGGTTTTACGGTATATTTAAATATATCAAATTTTCATTACGTCGAAAGTAACGTTCGCACCGATCCGGAAAAAAATAAATTTTGTTTTGATGACCGAAAAGTTATTCCTATTTCCAATTAAACGCATATATTCTCATAGTGATAGCAATGATAGAGGTTTTGGGCCTAAGGGAGAAGAGGTAATAAAATTATTTTCACTCCCGCGGGTTTTCCCCTCAACCAATAAAAACAAATTATAAAACCACATAATTCCTTCCTTTTAATTAGCTTCGGGTGTGACAATGATGGCGAATTCATTTTATTTCAGCAACCTTATCTTCCAGCAGACGCTCTGGACAGCAATGTCAACATTTATAAAAAAAAATACATTTGCCAGCAACACTTGCTGGGTGTATCCTATGGCTTACCTTCCCTACTAACATAATTCCTAAATTCCCGAGACATTTATGAGGGGTCGTAGAGTTCTCTGCATCTCTTTTAAGTAAATGTTGGACCAACATACCAGGAACCAGGACAATCCTACGTACAGCAACTGTTGGAGCGGGATATGTCTTTATCTGAGAGATAGTAATTATTTCCTACATACTATTTATCTGTCCAGTAATAGATATCCGCCATGCTCTGATTCCAGCTTTTCCAGCTTAATCCAGCAGCTCCATGCTCGGTAATGGCGGCCTGTTTGTATGAAGAAATGTATCCTTCACTGTGGTTTTTTGCTAAGATGAAGAGGTGACAATTGGCTTCTTCCTCTTTTATTTCTATCTCTATCTCTATATTTATCTATCTCTATCTCTATCGTACGCACATGAAATCGACCAATCAGGAGCTGGTTCACGTTTGACAGAAAAGTGGTTCATTTTTGCCCCCGTATTGTCACCTCTTCTCTTAGGTTTTTTGACGCTACTGTTCGGATTTTGACTCTTCCCTTTCCCTTTCCCAGGAACAGAAGAAAATGGAACAACATACCAACAATCAATACGAAACTAACGATTTTAAATTGGCTCACCACTTTAGTAGCCTATTGGTCCCAAGCAAACGATTAACGTACCCTATTCTAGTTGAAATTCTATTACTACACTATGTTTGTTTTGATTCGCTATGAAAGTTTGACAGATAACATCAGGGGTATGTGGATTCATGCAGAACATGCAGGGGTGAGTGAAATAGCTTGGGACTGCTTGGGACCGTTGTTCTGGTACTGAGTGAGCCAAAAATAATAATGATTTTCTTCGGGACCCAGTGGTCTTAGAGTTACCTCTATGAACATACGCCCTCCAGTTAGTGTCAAAAAGCACAGAGCAGGATACATTTATTCATACAAACAGGCCGCCATTACCGAGCATGGAAAGCTGGATACGTCGTTTGGTGGCCCTCTAATCTTACTTAAGTCAAAGTGTATTTACCAGGATATTCGGGAGAATTATCAATTACGTCTCCTTACGTGCAGCCCATTCATCATTTTAGGACTACCGAAATCATCTTAGCAACAAACAGTTCGATTTATTCACTTTAATAATGAGAAAGCGAAACGACGAACGTTCACTTTTCACAGGTTTCTCTGCGCTGTTACTTAAGACAAACGGCATCTCCATAGCAATCGGGTGACTTAAGTAACATCGAAAAATATTTTGATCGGAAGGTGATTACGTCAAAAAGTAATTTGACTGGTAAATAAATTTATGAATGGGATGTGATCCCATATTCGGTTAGTATATAGTGTAATCACCGATAAACCGACATGAATGATCATACAAATTACAAAGAATTTTCCAATCAAAGCACAAAACTGACATCTGCCGCCGTTCGCGGAAAATATTTATCCTAGCCACGAACACGCGTAAAAAATGTATGAGTTGGTTCGAGTCTAATCTATTTCGGACAGATTATTTTTATCTAGATAAAAAATTTCTTTGGTTTTCACAGATGGGATCGCTGCTCATTTGAATCGGCCGTTATGGATTCTCGGTCAAGAGATAAGTTTAAGTTTCATGTCGGTTTGTCGGCGAGGGGCACGCAATAGCCTTTTTGACTGCGTTGGATTTAAAGTACAAGGTGTTTAACTATGTAATTAAGTAATTAAAAATGAAAATTAAGTATGTCATGTAATTAAAATTAATTTCGCGTAATCAAAGCAGTGCCAGTGTAATTACTGTAATTAAAACATGTACTTCAATTTGATTACGTAATTAATGTAATTAAAAATTAATTTTCTGTAATAAATGTAATTAAAGCTACACAAATATAATTAAAAACGTACCCAAATCCTTATTCTTGAACTATTTAAAAAAATTGAAGAAAACCCTTAACACATACTCGAATGAATTAATTTATTCAAAAACTCTTCTTACACCCTGAAATACGCATATCAATGTTTTACTAGACTACAAACATGACCAATTCAACGAATACTTATACTAAATTTCTTGGAGCACCATGCTAGAGTTGGAAACTGAAATAATCCACTCGCGACAATCGATTTCACTTTCGTTTTGTACGTTCAACATAATGTCGTATCTAGTGCACTGTATTCGTTGAATAATGCGCTTTAATGCAGAACTAGAATAAAATCGATTGTCACGAGTGGGTTATATCGGTTTACAACTCTAGCGACAATATACAGTGAAAAGGAAGTGATACTCATAATGAGGGCCGTGATTGCCATACAAATGAAATGGGAATCACTTAGTTGTGACGACAAGTCTTCAAATTTTGCATTTCCTTAAATTCAAGCAATTCCTCGAGCAATTTCCTCCCGATCAAAAAATGTTCGACACATGATGATATTATGATGATGCCTGAATTAACAGATTCAATGGAAGATGTATTTGCATTTGCATTAATTTTCTGATGTTACGCGTGAATTCTTCGATTATTTCAATATTTCTTTCAAACTTAATATTATTATACTAATAATAATTAACAGATTTAAGGCAGAGTTCATGACAAAAAAAAATATAATCAGGTTTTGGTTGCAGACACTAAGATGATTCAAACCAATTGTGTGCTTTTATTTGTATTATCGCCAACATATGATCACATCCGTATTCAGAATTGACGCGATAGCACTTATGAAATTCGCCTCCCCATTGTTCATCTTTCCATGGGTCAACTAAACAATACTATGGGCAGAACTCCAAACCGATAGGAAACGATGAGTCCCATGTGCACAGGACACGAATTGATCGTTACCGATCAACTTGACACACTCAAGTTATCCGTGCTGGGAAGACAATTGCATACCAGCTGCGATTTTTTCCCGGAAATAGCACAGCGTGTGAATGTCCAAAGTATTCACCAGCTCCAGTGTCCGTTCAGCTGTCTGGGATAGCAAATTTGAACTCTTAATATGGTCATTACCGACGGATTTACGTAAAATAATGAAGTTTGATATGTCACACGAGGGGTTCTGGTTCTT